ACCGACTACGACGCATACCTCGAAATCGGGAACCGGTGCAATTCAAGAGTCAGGAAGCATAGGAGGTAATTCCAGGCTAACCTTGCTAAAAACCCCTAGCAAACCACAAAAGATTGTGCCGATTCATGTCGGAAAGAAAACCAACCAACCAGGGGGCATGCGCCTTAGTAGGCACAAACGGTGAACACAGCACTTGTCAGTCACGTCTCAAAAACCGTATTACCGATTGGTGACCTGAGAATTCTTTATTCTAACACCAACATATAAGCAGTATAATAAACCAAGGTCTGTGAACAAATATTAAAACAATAAATCACGATATTACTTCTGACGGTTTTGATCTTCTCTCTGAACAGCGATCGATGAGACGATGACTGGTGTATTGATGCCTCCGCGAAAATATAGGGAAGTTATGTTTGAGCAAACAACCATGAATTGATCGTTTAATCTTCAACTACAATGACATCACTAGTCTGGAGAGGGCCTTCGCCGAACAGCTTAACAGCAATGTGGTATTACCATTACGGACTAAATTTGTGACACTACTACTTCACAGAAGGAAAATCTAGTTGCTACTCCCCAAATGCACTCGGCATTGATATTAAGGAAGCTACAGCGACTCACACCTGGGAAGTCCCCAGGTTGTGACGATATCAGGCCATTTGTTCTGAAACAGTGCGCCGAAGCTCTCTGTAGGCCCCTGTGCGACTTGTTCCAACACTCGATGGATTTGGGGAACTGCCAAGGGCGTGGAAAAGGGCCATGCTTTCTCCAATCTTCAAAGGTGGGGGCATGCAAAATGCCACTAATTATAGAACAGTAGCCCTTCTCCCAGTGGTATCAAAAGTACTGAAAAGTATCATTGGTGATCACATCAGGAGTAACCTCGATAGGTCTAATATGCTCCACGAAGCCCAACACGGTTTCGTGAAATGCAGATCCCGTGTAACAATCCTACTATCAGCTTGGGATGATTGGACATCATGCCGGGATATGAATGTTCCAGTCCATGTGGTCTTCCTAGACTTTGAGAAGGCATTTGACACAGTCTACCATGACCTCCTACACAAAATAAGCCAGGCAGATATAGATAAGCCACTTCTGTCATGGTTAAAGTACTACCTAGCTGAAAGGCAATTTTGTACTAAGGTCAATCGAGTCCGATCATCTTGGCACAGATCGTCATCAGGAGTGTCGCTAGGTTCTATCCTAGGACCACTGATATTTTTGATTTTTATCAAGGATCTACCATGCCGTCTAAGTTGCTTGACTCTTCTATATGCTAACGACGTACAGATATGGAGGGCGATAAAGTGTCCGGAGGACTCCGATAGGCTACAGGAAGACCTAAACCTTCTGGAAGACTGGGCGGTGGCCAGTGGCATGACTTTCAACTTGAAAAAGTGCAAAGTAGTGAAGTTGCGCACCTGTAGACTGCAGAATGCAAGTTACACCCTGTGCAATGAAAGCTTGTCCTGCACAACGTCGGAACGCAACTTAGGTCTAGTTCTAACGGAAAAAATGGAAACAAGCGTAGATTACACAGGGGATGTAGCGAGGGCATATGCGGTCATACACTTTAAACATAGACAGTAAGGTGCACTCACTCCTGAGCTCTTTCTAAAGTCGCGCAAAACATACGTCAGACCACACCTTGAAGTGCATAATATCATTTCACCCCCATTGCTTAGAATAGAAGCCAGCCTCTTAGAAAGAGTCCAACGACGGGCAACAAAAGGAGTAGTCGGTCTCCGAAATAGACTGTATGATGAAAGGCTAAAGAAATAAGGCGTATTTACACTTAGCTACCGTCGGCTTAAAGGGGATTTGATTACTGTCTACAAAATAATTAATGACGAGAATCACCCAAAAAAAGGTGTTCTGCCAATGAGTAGGTATAGGCTTCCCCGTGAGAATCCCGGAAGGACAGCTCCCCAGAGGGCAAGAACCCGGATGCCCTCCCACTTCTTTTCACTCTGGATTTGCTGTCCCATTCAATATTTAAAACCCAGTCAAGTCACAGGTTTAATGAACCACATAGCTATTTTAACATAAGCGAATTCTCAGGATATATAGAGATTCATGGATAATTGATTTAATAGCAACCGCGGTTACTGGACTCTCTAGATATTCGGAAGTACCGCCTAAGTCATTGTGACGCTAGTCGGGCACTGTGTATTATGCTTCGCAGTACGCTGAGACTGGAATAGGGACGTTCAGCTGGACACGGGCGCCGATGACGAGCACCACTGACTACGTCAACAACACTTGATGATAGCCGTTTGTACCCCAAGGTTGTCACCCAAATAGAAAAACTAACTTAATACTGGGGTTGAAAATTCGAATTTTGTTCCTTATTCAGAGTTTACACGATTTCCAGACTGATTTCAGATTAGCGAAAGTCTGTCTTGTCATCCTAAGTTCGGCTTTTGCAACCTCATCCGTGCCATCTGACTGTAGTTGAAGCAATACTGCCCATGTTAACGAAGAAAGTGACCTCCATCAAATTCATCCTAATGACATTCATTAGCGCTTGTTGTTATTTCCGTCATCTCCGACCCCCCCCCGTATACTTACTTGAAGTCCTATCTTCACTCCCTGCTTCTTCAACTAGCTTGTTGGTTTCGCCTGTACTTCTTCGAATTTATGTGACATAAATCGTGAACGAAAATCTGCTGGATTTTTCTTGTCATATGGAATTATTCCTGTCTGGCTGCTTCCCACACATATTCCAGTCCACCAAAAAAAGGAACATCATCGGTAATAGCAGAGAGACTTGTTTCACTTCCATCTTGCCAATCGGACAAAACAGCGGCAATTTAACAGTGTGCGGCACGAAAAAAGATGGGATACGAGTAAGTCAGTAACTGTAACATTGCTTCAAAATTATGATTGCTAATCTTCCAAAGAAAAATCTTAAGTGGATTACTTTCAGAATTATGCATAATTTGCGTTATAATTTTTCATCTAGAAATATTCCCTATTTATATTATATTTATAATTCCTTAGCATTTTTAAAATCGGAAAAAACTATCAGGACTTTGAGAAAAGATCATGCGTCAGGGATATTTCCCCTCTTGGTAAACTGCAGACTTTTATATATAATATTCAAGTAGTGAATAAAGTATACTCTGTTCCCTGACTGAACACTGAATGACTGCGTAGATAAAACCACGTGTAATATTGAGTTACTTGAAAACCCAGCTAACGTTAAATCCTGGCGCAACACAGAAACTTCGGGGAAACCCCGGGTGCACTATAGTAATTGTGCCATACTGTCCCACTACCAGTCAGACCAAAACGGTTAAAAGTGACTGACTGAATAATGGGCATCGCCAGTAGTAAGAAAAAATAGGCGTATCTTGTTTGTGTGACGTAATTACGACCGACTTTTTACCATTATGACCACTGTCGAATTAATACTTTCCTGTGTTTTTACCAATATTTCCCCATTATACACTGCTCTCCCATATCAATGTTTAAGGCAATATTTTACCATTTTGACAGTTACTTAGGTGAAATTTGTTCATTATTTTATTGTAATCACCATTTTCCCGGAATTATGTCCATTTTAACTATCATTTAACCATTCTTTGCAAATCTTTGTCCTATTGGGTTTCAACAGTGGACGACACGATTTTAATAGCTGGGGAAGTTTTAGTCAATTTCTGTTATTGTATTGTGGATTATATGATATATGATATGAAAAGAGATACAGATATTCTGGACTTGAATGTGTGTGAGAAATTGAGGGGGTCTTGGAATATATATATATATATATATGATATTTTCCCGCGCGCATTCTCTGACTGCTAAATGTACTTATAATTTTGTCATGTTAATTTTCATGGCCGCCCACCTCTGTTTTTTATGAAGACTGAAAAATTCAGCACAGTCAAAACATTACTTTCAATTGTCCGGAAGTGTGTTTTGTAGGCGGTTATGAATTTAAAGGAAATGACTCCAGTGTTTACCTAGGAAGTCTAATAGTTTCTGGATGTATGTAGTATGGGTTTTAAGCATTCCATAATCACAGGTTCATGTTACTCTGCTAACTTCATTGAATGAAACCTTGGTGTTTCTTTAAAATTAGGTTTATTCGAAGATTAAATAATTTTATCAATATATACTCTTGTCATTCTCTGTGGTAAGTTGGCTTGGCATTTTTAGATTTTATGTGCTTGAATTTGTTCAAGTCTATGCACCCTTAAGTTAAAATTCGAAACAGCAGTTTATCTTGCAAGAGTAACAGCATGATACTCTAAGGATAAATGAGAATTAAACACAAACTAATCAGTTTTTTCACTGTGCTACACATTACCTGCACCAAGTTTGTCTTCACAATAAAAACATACAATTTACACCTGAAAGATTGTCCACCTTAATAATGTCAGTATCAAGACCTATATTCATGTTGTCTTATCCGTTGTACACTATCTTGCCGCCAGTTAAAATATCACTATGAAACTTATCTATCTCATATACTTCTATAGAAGGCCACTTCCGATTAAATACTTAATCAAGTTTACAAATCAACTTTTTCATGATTATCAGCCATCGTTTTGTGTTTTATAAATCTTCTGTAAATCACACACTCGAACCAAGTGAAGTCCAATCAGCAGGTTAATATCCTTGACTGAATGCTATATATTTATTCTTAAACTGGTTTTGATTTTCAGGGCATTGGACATTTGTTTTCGTGTGTTTCTGTCTTCTTGTTGGAAAAGTACTCTTTTAGTTTGTAGTGAATCAAATGCGTCATCAGCTTCTATTAGCTTTAGTATCGAAGTTGTGGAGCGTTAGCTTCTTTAATAGACATATCTGATATCTTTTATTTCGTAACATCCAGCTATTGATTTTTTGATCATTCGTGTATTTTTTTCTCTTCATCCCACAAAATGATCTCACAGTGTCAAAATAATCTTCGGTCAAATATGAGTTAAAAGAAGTTAGTTCAGAATATCATTAGTGACTCCTTTTGACTTTGTCCTCCACCCAAAATGAATGTATTGCATTTAATTAAACAAGCAAATACACTTTCACCAAGAATCCAAGCCCTATTAAAAGAAAGTAACCAGATCAAGTCTGTTGAGGATAAAAGCACCAGAACTCTATTTCCACGTGATGTGTTAAAGGCTAGATTGACGGACCTAGAGTTCCGAGTAACACAAGAGAAACATACAGAGAAGTAAGTTCTATACAAACGAATTTTACTGTTTTAGACCTTTCACCGGAAAATATTTGAATGAAAGATCGCGCGGAATATATAAATGTGTTGTATGTGGCTCGAAACTGTTTAGTAGTGAGGCGAAATTCTTCTGTAGTTGTGGGTGGCCTGCATTTAACAGTCCTGTTGGACTAAACTGTCTTATTTCATCTATTGATTTATCTTCAGGTAGGCTTACAGTTTGATATGTTTCATATTTATAACTTTTCCGCAAGTGGTTATCTTGGTTATGTTAAATTACTACAAAATGTTAGAATCGTTCACTTCATTTTGTTATTTTAAAGTATGCTACCCTAAAATTTTTGTTTGGAAACGATCCCCATCCTGTAAAAATTAAACACTGCTACAGAAACTTCAAGCCACTAGCTTGGAGCCCTATGTTCCACTGGGAACATGAAGGAAAAATTATTATTATTTACCCCAAAATTTTTGTTTGGAAACGATCCCAGTAATCATAAGCAAACGTACGTAAATGCTCAGAAAGGTTTTCATCCACAGTCATTATACATGTCTGTTCATCAAGAATTGTTATGTGATAAATTTGCGTCCCTTCTTAAGTATTCAGTGAATAGTACGCAACCCGTGACATCCGACTAGAATACCGCACTCCCGTGTTGTATTTACACAAACACTTGGAATACATACAATATTTATTCAGATTTTGATCTCTTTCCAGTCTCTTTCCTTCATTTGATCCTCTGAAGCACTAAACAGAGCTGAGTGATTATTTCATGTGTTTCACTTTATATATATATATATATATATATATATATATATATATATATATATATATATACAGCACACCAAATATTTCAAATTTGGTTTTAGTCTGTCGACAAATAGTGATTACCTGTCTTATAAGATCTGTGGCTAGGCGGTTTGTGTGGAAGACATCTATCCTTGTTATTTTTTTAATGGTTTGGTTTATGCCTACAAAATAAACTCCAAACTTTGTTTTGTTAATATTAGATTCAAAATATGGGCCATCGGCTTAAGCTTCATACTTTCGACAAATATGTCCTGGGTTTCAATTTCTCCCGGTCAACTAAGTTTTATCATCAACTCTCATACAAAAATGACAGCTCATAGTTTGAGTAACTGGTATCTATCTGTAGTAAACCAGTAACTGGGCAAGGTTTACTTGCCTAAATAATTGATAAAAACTGCTGCTGACCCTATATCAGGCCGTGTATTCACTCATTTCGAGTTTACTAGTGATTTGTGTATAGGAATGTAATCTACTGTCTGTACTACTGCTGCTGCCAGGATGAACTTCACTCTATAAACTTCGTTGCTGACATAGCAACTGCGTCAGTCTTTTTGGCTAATACTCTCAGTTAAATACATTACACGACAGTTTTTAATTAAACGGGTAGCGAACTTCAGTCTGTCCTCACAAAAATTCAAAGTGTACCCAATAGTAATCAGTTAATGGATCCTGAAACCCATTGGTTTCAGTCATTTTTGACAGCTTTTAAGATGCCTAAATCTTAATAGAAGTGATCTTTTCTTATGGTGTAGGGCTCTAGTTGTGTTGTTCAAGGAAATTCCCTCTTTACAAAAACACTTTTCCACCCGAGACTTCCTTCCCTAAACTCTCAGATGTTTTGTTGGAAATTTTGATGAACACCTGACACTACCTTGTGAAAACTCTATTGATTGATTTGGGCGTGAACTTAGTCAATTTTCGATTTCACATACTTATTAAGTCATTAGTGTGAAAACACTTATTTCTATTGACTTACCATTGAACTATATTAAATTACGACCATCTATGTAAGACATGTCACTAGCCCAATAAAAAACACTCGAATGAATTTCTCCAAATTTTAGTTCACTGAAAACCTTGTTTGAATGCTTTAGCAGAACACCTTACATCATTACCTCAAATTATTAGTGTGTAACAATCATCCTTTAGACTAAGAAGCGGCACAGAAATTTCGAACTTAGTTCATGTATGGAAAATTTGTGAAGCTGTGACTCATAATTTTAGGCATTCCACTCTCAGTCACTGGGTCACGAATTCAAATTCTTCTTCATATACTGAGGTTTTGGCAATTAGGTTGTATCGCTAGCCCTCACATAACATGTGTGGCTCATTACAAACTGCATGAAAATGCAAGCTGTTGTTTGGTAGCATGGAAGTGTGAAGTGAGTAGGTGGAAGATTTAGATTGCATGAAATGAAATAAATTCAATCCATCCCACACTCTTTGTTGTTACTTTACAAACATTTTCTGGGTAAATCGCCTATAAAAAATCGATGATACTTAGATGAGCGAAATGCAAATAATTATCTCTAAGGTCAAACGCCTTAATGTAGAAAACCGATTATAAAGTAAATCGTTCACAAAACCAAATGTATCTATCTCATTTCTGAATGTACTTGATCTTTGAATACATCTATTTTGCATATGGAAATAGTATTTCACCTTGACCTTTAGGCGTTTACATTTTTCGATTATATTTATGCCGCCTAAAAATCCTCGATTGAGTCATCTAAAAGCAAAGACATTCAGCGAAAAGTTACTGTTTTTAGCGACATCACTTTCAAGTTGTACAATCACATACACATAGTAAATTATCGTAACAACAAAAGGAATATTTCCAAAGATGTATCACTAAAATTGTAAATTTCAGATAACAAACTGCGTGATACAAATAATGTTCATAAATAATCTCCATCTAGACATTAATGAAAACAAAACATGTAGTTCAAAGAGTCTCTTTTCCGCGATTTCGTTAACTTAGCTGTACAATTGCAATTATATATACTTATTCTTGTATGTTTGTGTACATTAGATTTGTCCGATAAGAATAAAAATTAGTTAGGGTCATTGTTGTCAAGACATTCAAGAAATGTGATGAATAATGAAGTTGTAACTAGAGGCGGGGGTAAAGGTTGGTAAGAGGGTAGTGGTGATGTGTTGTCAAAAAACATATTTATTAATGTTAACCAACACATAAAGAAGTCGAATAAGTGTAATATAGTTGTGTGATAAGATCTATAGTTTAATGAGTGAGTTGTGATTAGGATGCACATAGAAACAAAGGGTAACATGGAATTATGTAAGAGTTCTGAAAATGACAAATGTTTCAAGGAGTTAGAAAAAACAAGCACACAAACATCAAGTCAGCAGAATTCAACGCGATTGATACCATGATAGTAGAAGTGGTTGGATGATTTTCCTTTATATACATAATTCTAGTTTCTCCAAATAAAATGGCTAAGGCTTCACCAGTGCAAAGGAGACGAAAGCGTATTGCCTTTGGTAGGTTATTCTTCACTTTGTAGATCACTTTGAAGGAAGCGTTTGTTGAGATGGAATGACCAGTTTTGACGAGATGTTCGATTATCGCACTCCTTATGCAGCCATTATTACCTTTTTCAAGCCATGAGAAATAGTGTTCTTGAATCCTTTTGGACAGGATACGCGTCGAACGACCAATGAACCGAGCACCACAGCAACAGTGGACTGATATATGCACATAAAAGTGACCAGATGCGATATCTTGTCCTTAAGGCTTCTGCAGATCAAAGGGTGACTGGAGAACACTACTCCTAGCGTTGCTGCGAAAAATATTCTTTTCAAAGATGCTGAAATTCTTCCCTTGAGGATATTGCAAGCTAGGTCTCCCTTGAAATCCAGACTCATTTAAAATATCTTTTTCGAAACAAGTGATGTTTCTTTCCTCTGGACCTTTGATTTTATATTCTTGTCGATAAATCTTGGTTGGTTGAAAGTTTCTTTGAGAAGATCCTGTTCTGCTTCCAGGGCGTCAGGACTGCAGATGCATCGGATTCGACTGGCAAGGGATTTAATCATATTTCGTTTCCACTCAGTAGGTATTCAACTGTAAAAAATTGTTATTTCACTGTTCCAAGTGGGTTTTCTATGAATTGACCTTCTTAAGGTTCTGTCAGGTCTTCTTTTTAGTTGCACATCGAGAAAGAGAATTTCGGATTTGCATTCCATTCTAGAGTGAATTTTATTGCCGGATGACAGTTGTAGAATATTTGTAGCAACTGACTTTGGTCGTAACTGTTGTTGCAAATGACGAAAATGTCATCTACTTGTCCTTTATACATTCGCAAATTGTCATTAGACAACTTAAGTGGGCCATTCTCAAGGCTAGCCATGAAACAGTCCGCTAGTAATGGACCCAAGGGAAATCCCATGTCAATACTGCCGTTTTGTCTGTAGGTGGCGTCATTGAAAGTAGAGTATATATTGAGAGTACACCTCAGTAGCAGTTCTTTCAGACATGTTGTTGGTATTCCAGTATTGAACAGGTTGTCATCTATGTATTTGCATATAAAACAGACAGTTTCTGTAAGTGGGACATTGGTGAAAAGTGATTCGATGTCGAAAGATAGCATACTTTTGTTAGTAACATTCATATTTTGTATACAGCCGACAAATTGGAAAATATCACGAAGCGATTAAATGCATAGATGTTTCCTTACAGGTTCCAGAATATCAGCCAGCCATTTTGCAACAGAATAATAAGGGGGACTTGATCTATCTAGAATTGGACGGAGTGGATGACCAACTCTGTGTATCTTTGGTAAACCATAAAGCCTTGGTATTATTGAACCTGTCAGTCGGATTTGATCATAAAGATCGCAGCTGATTAGCTGATCAGCTTTCATTCTTTTCAAGGTACCTGCAAGTTGTTTCTCAATCAGTTCGGTTTTGCTTTTTTCGTTGGGAGGTTGAGAAAATTTACTTCCATCGGAGAATACATTCTTCATTTTCTCCATATAGTCTTCTTGGTCCTAATGAACTACACTAGCTCCCTTGTTAGGACGGGTTATAAGTAGTTCTTTGTCGTCTCTCAGCTGTTTTAATTATTCTCGGTGCTGCTCTAATTTGAGGTTTAATCGGCTTAAAACCTCACAATAAATCTCCTGACGATCCTACGAACTTTGTGTTTAACCTCTCTTCAGTAACTTTGTCTGACTTGCAACAATCGATGATTGTTGATGTGGAAGGCTTGTCTTTGGGTGTGAAATTCTGGGAGATCAATTTCAACGTCAAAAAACTCCATACTCCTGTACAGTTTAAAAATTTATGTAGCCAAACGAATGGTATGGTTCCAACATCTAATGATGAGTCAGAACGATATATATATATATATATATATATATATATACTGAGAAGAAGT